TTCAGTTTTGGAATTTTTCATTTTTGAGATTTCGATAATTCGGTTTTTCGATTTATCGGTTTTTTAAGTTGAAATTTTTCAATTTTGAATTTTTAAATTTTTCGATTTTTCGTCTTCTCAATTTCTTATTTTTTCGACATTTCAATGAAATTTTTTAATTTCCCAATATTTCAAATATTTCAGTTTTTCAATTATTCAATTTTTCGATTTCTCAATTTTTCCATGTTTCAGTTATGCGATTTTTCATTTTTGGGATTTCTAGATTTATCGAGATTTCGATTTTTCAATTTTAGATTTTTCGATTTTTCGATTTTTTTAAGTTTAAATGTTTCAATTTTGAATTTTTCAATTTTTCGCCTTCTCAATTCCTCGATCTTTTGATGTTTTGATTTCTCCATGTTTGAATTCCTCGATTTTGACTTCTGGATTTCTCCGTTTTTCGATTTTTCGTTTTTCGATTTTTCAATTTTTGAACATTTCAGTGAGATTTTTTAATTTCCCAATAATACAATTTTTCGATTTATTGTTTTTTTTAAGTTTAAATTTTCCAATTTTGAATTTTTTAATTTTTCGATTTTTCGCCTTTTTCTCGATCTTTTGATGTTTTGATTTCTCTGTTTCAATTTTTCAATTTGGATTTCTGGATTTCTCCGTTGTTGGATTTTTCGACTTTTCGATTTTTCAGTATTTCGATTTTTTTAATTTCAGATTGTTTTCACTTTCTGGATTTCTATTTTTTTATTTTTTAGTTTTTTCGATTTTTAAATTTTGTACTTTCGGTTTTCCCATTTTTCCATTTGACTATTACTGATGGTTCGCTAATGTTTTCCTATTTTTCAATTTTTCGAATTTTTGAATTTAGATTTTTCACTATTTTCATGTTTAGGTTTTTTGTTTTCTTTACTTGTCGCTTTTAGATTTTTCGGTTTTTCAATTTATCGATTTTTCACATTTCAGTTTATCTAGATTTCGATATTTAGATTTTTCGAATTATAGGTATTTTTAATCTAAATTTTTCAATTTTGATTTTACTGATTTCTCGACATTTTGATATTTCCATTTCTCTGTTTTTCGATTTTTCGACTTTCCGTTTTTCCAATTTTCATTTTTTTTACCTTCAGATTTTTTTGTGATTTTTTAATACTGATTTTTTAAATTTTGCACTTTTGGTTTTTCGATTTTTCAATTTTTCGATTTTTCGAATTTTCTATTTCTCAATTATTTTAATTTTCAATTTTTTTACTTTTTAAATTTTGGATTTTTCACTTTTTTGATATTTGGATTCTTCGACTTGTCGCTTTTAGAATTTTCGGTTTTTTAATTTTTATAATTTTTCGATTTCTCGATTTATGGAAATTTCGATTTGTCATGTTTCGATTTTCTTTATCAGTTTTTAAGTTTAAATTTTTCAGTTTTGAATTTTTCAATTTTTTTTTTCGACTTCTTCGACTACTTAATTTTTCCATCTCGAAAAGGACGAGCAAGGACGAAATAAGGACGAAAAAGGACGAAAAAAGACGAAAAAGGACGATAAAGGACGAAAAAGTATAATAAGGAGGAAAAAGGACGAAAAAGGACGAAAAAGGATAGTAAGGACGAAAAAGGACGAAAAAGGATAATAAAGACGAAAAAGGATAATAAGGACAAAAAAGGACGAAAAGGACGAAAAAGGACGAAAAAGGACGAAAGAGGACGAAAAAGGACGAAAAAGGACGAAAGAGGACGAAAAAGGACGAAAGAGGACGAAAAAGGACGACAAAGGACGAAAAAGGACGCGGACGAAAAAGGATGATAAGGACGAAAAGGACGAAAAAGGACAAAAAAGGATAATAAGGACGAAAAAGACGAAAAAGAACGGAAAAGAACGAAAAAGGACGAAACGGACGAATGAGGATGAAAAACGACGAAACAGGACGAAAAGGACGAAAAGGACAAAAAGGACAAAAGGGACAAAGAGGATAAAAAGGGTAGGTGGGGGAAGTAACTATGATTTTTCGGTGGGAGTAACTAATACGGAAAAGGACGAACAAGGACGAAAAAGACGAAAAAGGACGAAAGTCGAAAAAGGACAAAACAGGACGAAGAATGACGGGAAAGGACGATAAAGGACGAAAAAGGACGAAAACGGACGAAGGGCGAAAAATCACGAATAAGGACGAAAAAGAATAATAAGGACGAAAATGGACGAAAAGGACGAAAAAGGACGAAAAGTACTAAACATTTTTTATGTTTCGATTTCTCGATGTTTCGGTCTTTCAGTTTCGGTTTCTCGATTTTTCGTTTTTTCAGTTCTTCGATTTTTTTGATTTTTTATTTTTTCGAATTTTTGAATTTAGGTTTTTTACTTTTTTCATGTTCTGATTTCTCGATCTTTGGATTTTTTCAATTGTCGCCTTTGGATTTTTCGTTTTTTCAATTTATTCATTTTTCAGATTTTCGATTTTTCAATGGTTCGATTTTTCGATTTCTTGACATTTTCATGTTTTGATTTCTCGGTTTTTCGATTTTCGACTTTCCGTTTTTCTAGTTTTTCGACATTTCAGTCTTGGAATTTTTCAATCTGTTGATTTTTCAGTTTATCGATTCTTCAATTTTTCGATTTTTTAATTTTCAAAATTTTAAAATTTTCGATTTTTCGATTTCTGGTTTTCTCCCGACCAATGAAACGATTTATTAAGGTGGAGCTTGTGCGAGTGGGACGAGCATTGGTAATATTGATTCTCACATCTGATAAGCTTATTTAACAACAGTCATTAATTAACAATAATAAAAGTAGCCACTAAAATGAAGAGAGGGAGCATGGGCGGTACTATTGCTAGCTTATAAGTCTGACCAGACCTGATCTGACCTGACCTGACTTGAACAGGTCAGGTGATGTAACGAGTTAGTGCCGAGAAAATTATTAGATGTATTCACATTTAATATATACAATAGTAAGGATAACTAGACGTCAATTTTATAATATCCTAGTCTTTTAAATTTTTGTTTTTGAGTTTCATGTTGTGAACAGAAGTCTACACATACTAAAACAAAAAGGCAAAATGTAAACCTGACCACCCACCCTATCTCAATTGTGACGAGTTTTTAATTCGCCATGAACCAAGGGGGCGGAGCTTAACTGCAAAATGCTGATTTCTTTACAAGAAATTAAATACATGTTTTTGAGAATCGTGTTGTTCAAAGAATGTTATGTACAACGAATGAAAACTTCATTACTGTTTAGATCAGGACAGGTATGGGTGGGTTTAATTTTCTACTTCAATTTTGTCTTAGTATATGTAGTAAGTATTCTTTGAATAAACGATATTTAAAACATGTCTTGCATGGTAATTTCTTCCAGAGAAATAATAAAGATTTTTCAATTCAATTCCGATCCTTTGACTCTCGACGATTAAAAAAAATCATCACAATTGAGATAGGGTGGGTGGGCGGGGCTTATATTTTGCCTTTCTTCTAAATACACCTAGTCGTTTCTTCAGAACAAGAAACTTAAAACATGTTTAAAATGGCAAATTCTTTAGACAAATATGGATCTTGCAATTAAGCCCCGCCCCTCAATCTGACAACGAATGAAAAATTCATCACAATTGAGAATTGAGGTCGGGGTGGGTATGGGTGGGGCCTAATCTTTGGCTTTAACAAAAGTTAAGAAAACTTAATATACAGAGTGATCTCTTAACAACACGATACTCAAAAACATGTTTTTCATTTCTCGTAGAGAAATAAAGATTTTGCAGTTAAGCTCCGCCCTATTCGCTCACTACGAATAAAACAAAACATCACAATTGAGATAGGGCGGGTGGGCGGGGCTACATTTTGCCTTTTTTTCTTAATATGTGTAGACTTATTTCTGCAACAAGAAGCTTAAAATATATCTAAAATGGTAAATTTTTGTACTAATCGATTTAAATCTTCCAGTTTTCTTCTACAACCCCTTTAAATATGGCAAAAGTTGCACATCAATGTTCCTGTCAACGGAAATTTGGAAACGGGGTTTATAAATGACAATTTTCAGCTCTAAAAGCAACGTCAAATAAATAGCCCTATCTCAATTGTGATGATTTTTTTATTAGCCGTGAACCAAGGAGGCGGAGCTTAACTGCAAAAATACTTATTTCTTTATAAGAAATTAAAAACATATTTTTGAGTATCATGTTGCTCAAAGAATACTAATAAGTGTTCAAGAACGTTCCAAATCTGGCAGACCAGAAACTGCTTCAAATGATAATTTGCCCTAGAATCCACTCTTATTTATTACTCGAATAAAGAATCCACATTGTAATTTTTCTTTCAATCCGCTTCTGACGATTTGTAATGAGCATAATGGCGCCGAAAAAATCCTGACCCCAGATTGATGAGGTGCATGATGAAATTTTCGCTCTCGTATCGCTTCAGAGGCCTCTTTGAGATTCATATTCTGGGCGAAGTTTTTTGTCATGCAAATCTCTTTAGCTGATGTCTCCGATATTATAGTTTAAAAAGGTCAATCAGAAGCAGCTGACAGTGTGCATGGATCGATCCGTTTTTTCGTACCTCGATCTGTTTTTAACACCCCCATCTTTTCCTCGTCGTCTCGTTTATTATGTAATAATTTTGGGGTTTCTTTCGACGTTGTTAATTCCGGACGCGAACTCATTCTATAATCTGAATACAAATGACCGCCGTCGCGTAACTACGTTTTCTATCAGTTGACTAATGTTAGTTGTTGCAAAAGAAATTAAATTTTTTGGAGTTAGGACATAATTGAAAAAGTTGGAATTCGTGGGAATGACCATTTGCCAGTTGAAGTTTGCCATAGTTATGCAAAAGACAAAGTGCAGACGATAAATTCAGTCCGGCTTTAATTTGCAGTGCGAGTTTGAGTTTATATTTAATTAACTTTTTGGTGCAGTGCTAGCGAAAAGAACACACTAACAAGTACGGGTTGAGAACGCGCACAATTAACAGTTAATAAGTAAATAACGCTGTGATAAATTACAGAAAAACATTCCGACTGGCGAAGTCCCTTGAAAGTTCGTAATCCAGTTGCCAAATAAATAATTAGTATTCATAGAGAACAGTTGACACGCCGTGAAATTTTAATGTCTTCGGTATATAAACCGCCCACAAACCAGCTGAAGCCATCAGTCGATCTTCATCAACAACCTAAATTAGAAGACATGGCAATCAAGGTAGGTCCCGTGTGCAAACAAAAAGTGAAAAGTGTCGTGAGTGTGTCAAATTAGTGTTGTGAAAAGTGTATTTGATTTTTCATTTGAAGAGACAGATCAAAAAGTGCTAACTTATTTTTCAATTTTTCGATTTTTATAATTCTCACCGACTTTCTTTTGTGCAGTTCATCATCTTGGCAGCTCTCGTGGCGGTCGCCAGGGGCGGAGTAGTGGGTGCCCCAGTGGCGCAGGTGGCCCCCGTAGCCGCCCCCGTGGTGGCGCGCCTCGCCGAATTCGACCCCAACCCCCAGTACTCCTTCGCCTACGACGTCCAGGACGCTTTAACCGGAGACTCTAAGAGCCAAGTGGAGAGCCGCAGCGGCGACATAGTCCAGGGCCAGTACAGCCTCGTCGAGCCCGACGGCACCCGAAGAATAGTGGACTACACCGCCGACCCCATCAACGGTTTCAACGCGGTAGTCAGCAAAACGCCCCTCGGACAAGTAGTCGCCCCAGTAGTGGCCCGCACCGCCCCCGTCGTGGCCGCTCCCGCCGCCCCCGTGGTGGCCGCTAGAGTGGCCGCGGCGCCCGTGGCTGCACGAGTAGCCGCCCCCGTCGTCGCCGCTCCCGCTGTGGCCCGCGTGGCCAGTCCCTTCGCCGCCCCCGTCGTGGCTGCGCCCGCTGTGGCACGCGTGGCGAGTCCCTTCGCCGCCCCCTACATCGCTGCTCCCGGTGTCGCCCGACTAGCCGCCCCCGTGGCGTCGCCCGTAGTGGCTGCCCCAGCGCTGTCTGCGTACGCCGCCCCCTACGCGTATCCCGGGGGATTTGCGAGGGTGGCAGCGCCCCTGACTTACGCTGTGTAGATTGTCGCTGATGCCCAATATTTGTTCTTCGCCTTATGTACATATTTTTAACGTTTAAATAAAGTACTAGGATATTAGGGTGGCATTGTTGTTTCTGGGGGAGATTTGACCTTCCTATTGTTTTAAAATTGTGGATTAAGGCGAGCCAGCGAGATGGTGGTTTGATGTTCACAATTGGGTCCTCGTAAATCACGAAAGATAGAAAGTTGAGTTAAAGGAAAAAAGTTTGTGTTGTTGGAGAGTTGGAGTTGGAAATATGACGGAAAATCTTTTGGAATATTATGAAACAGCTCAAAGTTCATGATCGTTAAAAACTTTTTCATTATATAAGTATTGAACTTAACATATGGAATAATAAAGCGATGAGGTATTTTGTTGAGGGGCGAGTAGGAGGTGGGTGCCCAAAAATCAGAAAAAGTGTGTGTAGAATTGCCAAAAAAACCTGGATGGCGCAATATTCTAAACATAACAATGGTTTATTTTCCAAGGTAAAGAAAGCATTTATTAAAGCTCATTTAAGGATCCAAGCTTTACCGGATTGTCTATTGCCTCCAGAACCTTTTCCGACAAAATGGTGTTCATGATTATGTAAAATAATAAAAAAATCCATAAATATTTTCACCTGTATTGCTTACGGTGCTTCTGGGTACACTTTCTTCAATAAGTTGTTACATAAATCAATACTTGCATCACACGCGTGTGACATTTGGAGCAATTATTAATTGTTTCTGAAACTGTCAAAATTTACATAACCATTTATGGTAACTATAAGGATTTATTTACAGAAAGATCATACGACGTAATAAACGACACGTTTTAAGAATTCAGACCACAAAATCTCGAGACCACATACTGACAGCGAACATAAGGTCAAAGCTACAAAACAATTTGAACAGAGGCCGAGTCAAAGATCAAAACACCTTAAATGTAAACACAACACAAGTGATACCAAAGGTCGAGACCTAACCAAACTAATTTGCTAATGGATGATGCAGAAACTCAACAAGTTTCAGAGCGGAACTACACATCTGAAAATCAATATCAAAGAATTGAAAAGAGCGAAGAGAAACCAGTAAACAAGAAAACAAAAGTAAGCATACAAGGCGTCATTCATGTTTCTACCATTTCTTAAAAGGAATTTTGGACTTCTAATAAAAATAAATGTGTTAATCAAGACGGAACTTCTGTATTGGTTGGAGTTGGAAATGAAATACGACAAAAATAACTGGGGCGCTGGATGCATTGAAGGAAACCGCAGCAGTTTCAACATATAAAAGAATCGGCAAAATTGAGCAGTGTATGACACACAAAAGGGGATGGCAAAAAATAAAACACAGCAAGTGAAAGAACTTAAAATAATTGTGACTTAAACAAAAAAAATTACGATTAGCACTTTTTTACTTTTTTCACATTCTAGACGCTATTATTAGTTTCCACCCCATCTCCTTTTCAGTGATTGATTTTATCCGATGTGAATCAAATGAATGATCTTATACTGAAGAGAAATAAAATTGGTCGTTAGATTGAGAAAAGAGTGGGTGGGCGGAACTAGTACCTGCTAAGACGAGAGTAATTTCGGCTTCGTTTCCTTCGAAATTCGTACCGTTTTTCTAAAATCCTCAATTGTAATACAGATATTTTAAAGATTAGCGCTTTTTTGCTTTTTTCACATCCTAGATTATATTATTAGTTTCTGCTCCTACTCGACAGAAGAACATATTTAGCCCCGCCCACCCACCCTGTCTCCTTTTAAGTGATTGATCTCATCTTAATCTTGTACTGAAAGGAAATAAAATTAGTCGTTAGAATAAGAAGAGAGGGGGTGGGCGAAGCTAGTACTTGCTAAGATAAGACTGATTTGGCAAATGACATATATTCCAAGAAAATAGAGGGCGGGTGGGCGGGGCTAGTACTTGGTAAGGTAAGACTGATTCTGGCAAATGACATATCTTCTAAGAAAATAGAGGGTGCGTGGGCGGGGCTTGTGTTTGATAAGGTAAGACTGCTTTTGGCACTTTTGCCATGTTCGATTATTGTTCAGATATATGTGAAAATTGGTTGAACATACTTTCTTGTACATTTCGATATCCCGGAGTGATTTTCGGCTGCTTTCTTTGGAAATTCATACCGTGTTTCTAAAATCGTCAATTGAAATACAGATATTTTAAAGATTAACGCTTTTTTACTTTTTTCATATTATTGTTTCTACTATTAGTTTCCACTCCCACTCGGCAGAAGAACATATTTAGCCCCGCCCACCCACCCCATCTCCTTTTTAGTGATTGATTTTATCCGATGTGAATCAAACGAATGTGCCTTATACTGAACAGAAATAAAATTGTTCCTTAGAATGAGAAAAGAGGGGGTGGGCGGTGCTAGTACCTGCTAAGAAGAGAGTAATTTCGGCTTCGATCCCTTGGAAATTCTTACCGTTTTTCTAAAATCGTCAGTTGAAATACAGATATTTTAAAGATTAGCGCTTTTTTGGTTTTTCACATCCTAGTTCTATTATTAGTTTCCACTTCCACTCGACAGAAGAACATATTTAGCCCCGCCCACCCACCCTGTCTCCTTTTCAGTGATTGATCTCATCTCAATCTTATACTGAAAGGAAATAAAATTAGTTGTTAGAATAAGAAGAGAGGGGGTGGGCGAAGCTAGTACTTACTAAGATAAGACTGATTCGGCAAATGACGTACCTTCCAAGAAAATAGAGGGCGGGTGGGCGGGGCTAGTACTTGGTGAGGTAAGACTGATTCTGGCAAATGACAAATCTTCTAAGAAATAGAGGGTGCGTGGGTGGGGCTAGTATTTGATAAGGTAAGACTGCTTTTGGTACTTTTGACATGTTCGATCATTTTTCAAATATAAGTGAAAATTAGTTGAAGATGCTTACTTGTACATTTCGATATCCAGGAGTGATTTTCGGCTGCGTTTCTTTGGAAATTCCTACCGTTTTTCTGAAATCGTCAATTGAAATACAGATATTTTAAAGATTAACGCTTTTTTACTTTCTTCATATTTCAGTTTCTATTATTAGTTTCCACTCCCACTCGACAAAAGAACATATTTTTTTCATATTCTAGTTTCTATTATTAGTTTCCACTCCGGCTCGACAGAAGAACACATTTAGCCCCGCCCACCCACCCTGTCTCCTTTTCCCTGATTGATCTCATCTTAATATTATACTGAAAGGAAATAAAATTAGTCGTTAGAATAAGAACAGAGGGAGTGGGCGAAGCTAGTACTTGCTAAGATAATACTGATTTGGCAAATGACATACCTTCCAAGAAAATAGAGGGTGGGTGGGCGGGGCTAGTACTTGGTAAGGTAAGACTGATTTTGGCAAATGACGTATCTTCTAAGAAAATAGAGGGTGCGTAGGCGGGGCCAGTATTTGATAAGGTACTTAAGACTGATTTTGGCACTTTTGACATGTTCGATCATTTTTCAAATACATGCGAAAACTAGTTGAAGATACTTTCTTGTACATTTCGATATTCAGGAGTGATTTTCGGCTGCGTTTCTTTGGAAATTCCTACCGTTTTTCTAAAATCGTCAATTGAAATACAAATATTTTAAAGATTAGCGCTTTTTTGCTTTTCCACATCCTAGATTCTATTAATATTTTCCACTCCCACTCGACAGAAGAACAAATTTAGCCCCGCCCAACCACCCTGTCTCCTTTTAAGTGATTGATCTCATCTTAATCTTGTACTGAAAGGAAATAAAATTAGTCATTAGAATAAGAAGAGAGGGGGTGGGCGAAGCTAGTACTTGCTAAGATAAGACTGATTTGGCAAATGACATATATTCCAAGAAAATAGAGGGCGGGTGGGCGGGGTTAGTACTTGGTAAGTTAAGACTGATTCTGGCAAATGACATATCTTCTAAGAAAAAAGAGGGTGCGTGGGCGGGGCTTGTATTTGATAAGGTAAGACTTCTTTTGGCACTTTTGCCATGTTCGATTATTTTTCAGATATATGTGAAAATTAGTTGAACATACTTTCTTGTACATTTCGATATCCCGGAGTGATTTTCGGCTGCTTTCTTTGGAAATTCATTCCGTGTTTCTAAAATCGTCAATTGAAATACAGATATTTTAAAGATTAACGCTTTTTTACTTTTTTCATATTATTGTTTCTACTATTAGTTTCCACTCCCTCTCGACAGAAGAATATATTTAGCCCCGCCCACCCACCCCATCTCCTTTTTAGTGATTGATTTTATCCGATGTGAATCAAACGAATGTGTCTTATACTGAACAGAAATAAAATTGTTCCTTAGAATGAGAAAAGAGGGGGTGGACGGTGTTAGTACCTGCTAAGAAGAGAGTAATTTCGGCTTCGATCCCTTGGAAATTCTTACCGTTTTTCTAAAATCGTCAATTGAAATACAGATATTTTATAGATTAGCGCTTTTTTGGTTTTTCACATCCTAGTTCTATTAGTAGTTTCCACTTCCACTCGACAGAAGAACATATTTAGCCCCGCCCACCTACTCTGTCTCCTTTTCAGTGATTGATCTCATCTCAATCTTATACTGAAAGGAAATAAAATTAGTCGTTAGAATAAGAAGAGAGGGGGTGGGCGAAGCTAGTACTTGCTAAGATAAGACTGATTTGGCAAATGACATATATTCCAAGAAAATAGAGGGCGGGTGGGCGGGGCTAGTACTTGGTAAGGTAAGACTGATTCTGGCAAATGACATATCTTCTAAGAAAATAGAGGGTGCGTGGGCGGGGCTTGTATTTGATAAGGTAAGACTGCTTTCGGCACTTTTGACATGTTCGATCATTTTTTAAATATACGCGGAATTAAGTTGAAGATACTTTCTTGTACATTTCGATATCCAGGAGTGATTTTCGGCTGCGTTTCCTTCGAAATTCGTACCGTTTTTCTAAAATCCTCAATTGAAATACAGATATTTTAAAGATTAGCGCTTTTTTGCTTTTTTCACATCCTAAATTCTATTATTAGTTTCTGCTCCTACTCGACAGAAGAACATATTTAGCCCCGCCCACCCACCCCATCTCCTTTTCAGTGATTGATTTTATCC